ATATGGATTTAAAGAAAAGTGTTTTAAGGAATAAAGAATAACAAATGAAACTATTAGTGATTTTATAATGAAATAAAAAAAAAGTTTTAAACAGATCAAAACATAATTTTAAACTCATTTGTTTTTCTTAGAATTTTTCATAGTACCTTTTTACGATAGCTAAGTTCTTAAATATTTATATTATAAGATTGCAATCACTTATCTGCTTCTTTCATTATAATTTTTATAATTTTGATGCTTGTTCATCGCAAATTGAAGAGCATTTTATTTGTAATAAACAAAAGTTTAACGAGCTTTTTTTAACTTTAGCTAAAAGGCTTGCAGTACGCTTAAAAAGGTTGCGAGCCATACGCGAAAAAGATATTTACTAAATCAAATCTTTTTTAAATCTTTAAAGATTTTTTAGACCCTACACTGCTTAAATTTGGAATAATATTTAACACTTAATAGCTAAACTCGGGTTAAAATAACCCGTATATTATAAAGTGTACAATAAAATTGGTATGCGATAAAAATTATATACAATAAAATTGGTACACTAAAAGTAAACAATGTAACTGGCGGTATGCAATTTGGTGGGTAGCTATTAAGCGTTAATTAGAATTCGGGTAATGTATGAAGTTTAGTATTAACTTTAATGCAATGTCTGGTAAAAACCATTTATTTTTTTTTAAATACTCAAGGAATTTTTTATTTTTATTTATGGGACAAAAACAAGATTTTTATTCGTATATTCCTACAGATAATACAAATTTCCTTTGATTAAAATTTTACATAATTTTTATAAATTGAAGCGATAATCTAGGGAAATATGGTCTAAGGGAACTCCTGTATTTAAAGCGGATTTATTATCATAACATTGGGATATGATAGGTTAATGAATCAGAATTTATTTTATTAATTTAGACTCTGTTTTAATTATTTCGTTTCGTTTCACGTGTAGGTTATATTTTGCGATTATTTTTCGTTAAAAACTTTTTATGTGTAGATGCGTTTTAGTTTTGTTAATGCAAGTCAAAATTTATTTGCCCTAATAAAACTGGACAACTAAATGTTCTTAATTAAAGGATGGCTCAGGGGATAGAGCGTTCGCCTCCATATGAGGCGAAACGGGTTCGAATCCCAGTTGATACGAATTCCGCATCCGGCTTGCAATGACCGCAATGCTGACGTGAAATATCCTCAGTGGTAGACGGATCATGGGTTAGAGTCCATTTGTCGTCAGGCTAACCGTGGGAGGTTNTAACGCAAATGTGGGTTAGCTCCATCAAAAAGTCCTCCACGAAGGCAAATTTCTCCCAATACTCGATTCAGGAGTTCCCTTGTCTTCTGGGTTATGTACAAAATTTCAAGGCTACGGAGTTGAACATTAGTAGTTGTAAACCCATAAAAGTTGGGTCGGCTGTTCAACAACGGTTATATATATAAAAAAAATCAATATTATTTATGAAGGATTGAGATATTAAGTCGCTTCTCTCAAATTTATTCTTAAATATGTAAATTTTTTTGAAATGATATTTGCACTCATATATCTAAAATACGGCTTATAATTTATAACTAACTAGATGAAACAGTTATATAATAAGCTCAGTGCTTTCAAAAGAGCGATGCTACTACAGCTACTTTTATGAATTGGAATAAAACTTCTTTCGACCTCACTTTTCCTCTTCGACCTCACTCTTTAATGACGTCATTCAGAATCTCTCTCTAATCTTTTCCAATGATCTGTGTTTGTGGTCGTGATACATTAATGATTAAGACCGTTAGGTAAGTTGGAAGAAAATGAGCCGGAAGGCTATATAGAAAGGAAAATTTGAATGGAATTACCAAAGGAAGAAATTACAAAGCGATGGATTATGGTTTATTCTCCTATTAAGAGAAATTGATTACTAAAAATTCCCAAACTTACAAAGCAGAAACTAACTTACGAATAGAACTCATTACAATTAGAAAAGATCACGGCTTGTAAAAAGATTTTAGGTTTCATAACTTCTATGTAAAATGTTTAGTAAAATGTTTAGTCTATGTAAATATAGTTTAGTTTTTAAAGTTTTAAAGTGTAAATTATATAAATATTAACCTTTCTTTAAGTAAAAAAAATGCATTTTTAGTTTTTTTACACGTATAAAAATTTGTTTACTCTTTTTGGTTCAAAACCTTTTCGAAATTTTTTTTTAATAAAAATTATAGCAGTATCAGATGAATTCACACAAGAATCTTCAAATTATGTAAGATATTATCTGCAACTGAGAAATTACTTTACACTGAGAAAAAATGTATCTTCAAGATTAACAGAATAGGGTAAAATTTACAGTGTTTCTGGCTGTGTGAGAGCACCAAAAACCTCCGTAATTTTTACCTAAGGTGTTTGATAATGAATTTGGTAAAATTAACAATGATATATAGTTTAATACTATGTTACGTACATAGGTTAAAACTACCAAATAAATGGTGAAATAAGTGACAATTTTTTAGACTAGTTTGGCAATTCTATCATCATATATTAGAGAATGGCATAAAAACCAATTATTTGGTTAAAATTACATTTCTGATTTGTATTTTTTACTAAATGTGTGGTAATAAGAGCTATAATGTTTGAAAAGTAGAATTTGCTGTAAACCACTACCATATGAACGGGAAAAATTACCAAACGAATAATTTAAATATGGTATATTTTAGCCTTTTTTTAACCAGAATTTTTTTTTCTTAAACCAGAACTATTATTACCAAAGAGTACTGCAATTTTACCATTTTACCGGAATTTGTTTTTCCGTGTAAATATAGATTGCGATAAATTACATTTATTTTCATACTGTCAAATGAAAGGATATTAAAGCATGTCTGTTTTTTTTAATGAAATTTATCTATAGAAAATATTTCAGTAATAATTTGCAGTATTCGAAGAGCAGTAACTCTACTAAGTATATCTTTTAGTAAATACTAAAATAAAGTTTTCTTATTCTATCACAAAACAAAACTTCAACACGATTGTTCTTTGAGAATTAATTCTATAATGAATTATATAGATTTTTACGCTATTTATAGCAGTTAATTTCTTTTCAAATAATAATTGTTTGTAAGTAAATAAAAATGTCTTTAAAGATGTCAAGGGTTTTCAGATTTGCGTATCAAGGAATGAAATAGCAAGTGGAGAAAGCTGAGAATAAATAATAAAGGTGAACAAGTGCTACGCTACTGTGATTGTTTCGCGAAGCAGAAACAATTCTTTTTATTTTACGTTTTTATTCTCTGCTTTGTGTCTTTGTAAAGAAGCTCACAAATGTTTTGAGCATCTCTCGCGTGTCTAAAGTATCCCGAGGGCGAAAGGGAACGCTTTTCAAACATTGCGAAAATTTGTCATTAACTTTACATAAATACACTATAGTGTTCTATCTGATGAAATGTCACTCAATCAAGTACCGTTACAAAATTGTAACGCTACTTGGGTTTATATGATAGCACTCACTTAAAAAGATAAATTTACATCGAGAGTTTAATTTATCATTCGATGCTTTGAATATTTATGTGGATTTTGTCCTTTTCGAGTTTATTCTTGATTAATGATTATTGTTTCAGAATTGAATATTCATGAGTAAAATTGCCTTCTTTTATTTGTTTCATTGAGTTGAACACTTGGGTTTGCTTAATTACAAAATAAGTTAAGACTTACACACTTTTTAAGTAATTTATTTTTAATTGTATGAAGTACTTAAAAACTTTAAAAAAATCATTTCGAAATACTAAACGCTTCACTAGTAAAAATACGGAAACGGGGGTTTATCCAAGAATTTACGTTAACGTAAGCAATTATAGGAAAAATTAGTTCGAACTGTGAAAAAAATCACAAATTGCCTTAAACCCATTTTTTTCCATGGTTTATTTATTCTTTTATTTTATCTTTTTAACAGAAGTGCACCCATATTTCATTTTAAGAAACTAAGTTCATTTTAGATAAATAATTGTTTGAATACTAGTGTTTTTAAAAGACATCTATTAATTTTGGCGAAAATTGCATCAAATTTGGTACATATAGCGATAATCATTAGATAACTAAATCACAAATTATACATATGATATCATAAGTACATATGACATATACATATGATACATATATATGATCTCGAAATAATTTTTGATTGATAAATTTAATTATCATATATCTTTATTATAGTTTATAAACTAAGCCAAAAATTTAACTCGAAATTTTGAAAAAGTTGTATTTCAATAAGGAGAAACAATTCAAATTATTTCCTTTTTAAGAATACATAAAAATCATTATTAATTAAAAATTGAACCAAATGCCTGAATTATGTTCATAAAACACTGAATTAGAAGTAAAATGCTAAGTAAATCATGATAATTGATCAGGTATTGAATTTTATATTTTTAAAAGCAACTCTATGTATACTTTTGACGATGTTTTATACAAGAGTTTCAGTTGTTTTATGTAAAATTTATGTAATATGAGTAATTTTGAAACTACTGTAATGTAAGCCATGTTTCACAAAAATTCTTAAACAGTTTTTAAAAACATTCTAATTTTCCTAAACGAATTAAATCTAACAAATTTATTTACTGTAATGAGATTTATATCCCAAATAAGGAAGCATTAGTTGAGTTTTTAGATTTTATGTATACAATTTATTCATTTCTAAAATATTCGTTAAAACTTTTTATTGTGAAAAAATATAGAAAATTGCATCCTTTATATTATTAATTTTATTTTTTGTTAATACAAACGCAATGGATGTAAGAAATTAAAATTAAAAAAAAATAAAGTAAGACTCACTCTTGAATGACTTAAGAAATACATGGATAACCAAATATATTGAAAAATCAAGATAAATTGATTCCATTAATTAAATTTTACAAAATAAGTAAAATATTACTAAAAAAATATCTAGATATTCTAGAAAAACATTAATTCTTACATAAATTGCTCACAATAAATTATGATTAAAAAATAATATAAAATTAAGAATATTATAAATATAACTCACCCCTTCCTCTTCCAAATTGAGAATTGAATGTGGCCCTTACGGCCCTATTGTATCCGAGCATTTTACAGACGACGAATGCTTCTCGAATGTCCCATTCATCATCACAAATCGAGCCCCATCGTCCACGATAAAACACTTCAACGTTACCTTCCGTAGGGTTCCGGCCACCAACCAAACGAATGGAGCCGTCAGGGTAGACCGGACCCTCTTGCGTCCTGACCAGAGCTAGGATCGTCAGGACCCAAATCACCAGAAACGTGGGTGCAATCTTCATTATCTTCCTTCTTGATATCCTGTGAGACCAAAAAGAACAAAGTGGGTCCTGAGGAATATTACAGAAAATTTTTTCAAAGAGAAATCAATATTGCACCGAGATAAAAACTCGTGCTTTTGAAATGAGCACGAGGTGCGAAAACAGGACGAGCACCCTGACTGGTGACGTTAATAAAAGTGAATCCGAACCTCCACTGGACTCTGAGAAAGAGCGGAGCAACGAGCCGTTTAACGTATGTAACCTATTTCCTTAGGAATCAGCTGGACCGTCGACGAAGAAAGCCAAGAGCCGGTCGAGAGAGAGAGAGAGAGAGAATTTTTTTTCGTTTATTTATTTTTTTTAAAAATAAAAACTAGGGCTGAGGTAGAAAATAAAGCAGTAGAGAAACGGGGTTTCTCTGCAGCAACCAAAACAACCCTCGGTGAAAGTGTTTCCCTGAGGAAGAAGACTGTTCTCGATTTGCTGAGTTAGGCAATAATCTCTAGGGATGCACTATTCCTCAGGACTAGTCAGGAATACCAAGAGGGAAGAGGTTAAAACACAAATGCAGCCAGACGACAAGTCGATGGGTCTTTTAAAACCGCGGCAATTCCCAGATTCATACCTGTCTATCTCTCTTCCCTACCCCCCCCCCTTCCTCAGGCTTCACTCTCTCTTTCATCCCACTCTCCCTCTCTCTCTCTCTCGTGGGACAGGATTCCCCACCTCTCACTTTCACCTTCTCTTAGAGTGGTCATCCTGGGAAATTTTTTTAGTGATATTAAAGAAATTATTCATCATTATTTTTTAATGGAATTTCATCCCTTCAATGGAGAATAGAGGGATTGAACAATGACGTGCTTTTCGTACGTATACCTGGTTGGACGAAACTTGTCGGTTGTCACGTGGGTACACGCACTTCACGCGCACGCACACACAGGTTTTTTCGAAGGTTAACTTTGGCAATATTCTTTCTCTGTTGCAGACGAATTTTTATTCCACACCCACTCATGATTATGGTATGACTCGTGAATAAACACCATCTACTTCCTACAAAATTTAGTCGTGGGAATTTTAACAAAATAGAAGAACCCAGTTATTTAGAACATTATGTTAGGAACAAATTTTACTGTACGAGACATGACTTTTTAGAAGGATTAGTTGAAGCAAATCTTTTTCCATCTAAATTTATACAAACAAACTATGCTGCGAACATAAAGAAATTTAAGTTAACGTAAAAAACAAAAGTAATAAACCCCCAAATTTCTTCAGAATTTTTTTCGCAAATGTCATTTGAACATAACAGTTTCATTAAAGAAATTTCCAGCTATTATTGAAATCTGAATTCCTATGAGCTTTTCAGCAGACAGATGATTTAGATTTGCGAGAAAATTTTTTTGAATAAATCTCCCAAATTTAAATGTACAAAAGAAATAAAACGCATAAACGTATGAAATTCTTTTTTTAAAAAAAATCAGCAAATTCAGCAAATTGAAAGTTATATTAAGAAGGCTCTGAAATTAGCTTTTATTATTGTTGAAACGCACAAGTAATAAAAAAATAATGAACTTAGACTATTTCTCAATGCCTTGTACAAAAGGAGTTCTTATTATCCTTCTTCTTTTACTGATGCTTTTGTCCAGTATTTGTATTTTTTGCTGTTCTCTATATTACAGTAATTATGGGCTGTTTTTCAGTGTTCTTAAAGAATAAAATAATTGTGTGAAATGCTGCCTTATTAAATAATTTGTTTTTATGAAAAAATCGCTTGATGTTGTCTATTCTTATGCAGTTTAAAAAGTAAAATTACTTTTAATAACTAATTCCAAAGATCGAATAACCATGCACTAGAAGAAAATATAATTCATGCAAAAGAAACGATATTAATATACCAATTAAATTATAGCAGACTATAGATTAAATTTCTAAAACTGATTAAAATATCTCCCTTTTTCTAGATGACGCATAGAAATATATTTCCTTGACGGATTCCGACTTTTGAATTTAATAATGTAGCGTCTAGCTATAATCTAGAAAATATACTTTAGTAGTGCTAGAAAATAGCTTCAGTAAAAGTTGCCTAAAATATGAGCCAATAAGTGTCATCTTGATTTTTTTCATCATTTCTCTAAAACTATAGTTAATCACGAATTGAAAACTTTTTGACCATAGCTATACCGTTCCCTCTAAAATTAACTGATAAAATTTTTTATTCTAACTCATTGATTGGATGAAGAGAGATTAAAAAATTGGACTGTAACAAAAAGCTTCAGCTTCATCCCATTAAACTACTAATTTTAAATATTAATAGCTTGAATTTGAACGAAATAGGGGATATGCATATAAATAGTAAACATTTAAGAAATAGTTGCAATAAAAATAGTTTAAATTTTTTATTAAAACTAGAGAACAGAAATTCATTAAGAGGTTGGATTTGGGACAATTGAAATTACATAATTTACACGATAAACGTTTTTTTAATTCTTTTCCTAACAACTTATAGTTTACATAAAATTAACTTCCGATAAACAAATTACTTAATTTTATGCAAAAATCTCCTTATTTTTCTCAATTAGTTAATCCAATGGCAGAAGTAGAACTATTCGGGTTCAAATGCTAAACCATTTTTCTAGGTAAAATATTAAGATCATATTTTTCAAATCATATCTATTCCCATACAAATCATCAAAAAATGAGTAAGGATGTGCAAAAATATTATAGTTAAGTGTCTGTTTTATTAACTTAAAAATAACTTCTGCAAAAATTAATTGGTAATAAGGGTATCTATCTGAAACAAATAAGATTATAATCGAAACCAATAAAGTTATTAAATGTATGGTAATAAGAACTACAATTTTAAAAACAAGAGTTTTCGGTAAGTCATTATTATAGTGAATGATAAAAGTATCAAATTAAATGGTTTAAATGGCGTATATTTTGTTTTAATTATAATTTTTTTTGGTTTACAAATATTGTAAGTGTTTTACGTGTATATTCCTTTAACAAACCTTTGAAAAAATAATATATTTACAGAGACACAGAATCCCATAGTTAACAGTTCTTGGTATTCATTCTCCGTTATTTAATCAAAAGTATTCTCCGTCATTTATTATTCTCCGTTTAATAAATAAAGGAGAATATTTCATACAAACTTCCATAGAAATTTTCACACTAAAAAACTCGGTCTAAATATTTTCCTTTTAAAAAATCTCTAGAAGGTCAATAATTATACAGTAAATAAAAAGTAAGGCATAAAGACTACTGCAAAATTATTACATTTCCTTAAAAGAGAGTACGACCACAAGTAATTTATTTCAATTAATCCAAATATTGCAACGGTAGATTCCACATGAAGGAACAAACCAAATAATTTCAAGGCCAAAATAATTTTTCAAGCATCTGATTTATTCATTAAAATGCTTTTACATTTTAAACAGTGTATTATGTAATATTAATGAATTAATAAAATTAAAAAAAAAACATCAAATCATGTCTAAATTATGCTTTTAAGTTCACTTTATTTGAACGATAAAAACATATTGTTTAATGAAGAATTCTGTTTTTTTTTTATTTATTTTTGTTTAAATTTCTCTTTCCCATCTTCGAAATAATTTTCCTTTTCGTAATGTATTTGGTTTTTCCTACTTCGCACGTCCTTCGTCATAACAGCATTATTCATGTTTATAGATACAGAAGGGAAAGAATCAACTTTCCAATTAATGAAACATCAACAAAATTTAACTTTTCAAGCTTTCTTTAATTTAAAATTACTTTGTTTAAAAATTTGTGGAATAAATTAGTATATAACATATATATATATATATATATATGTGTGTGTGTGTGTGTGTGNACACACACACACACACACACACACACACACACACACACACATATATATATATATATATATATGTTATATACTAATTTATTCCACAAATTTTTAAACAAAGTAATTTTAAATTGAAGAAAGCTTGAAGAGTTAAATTTCATTAATTGGAAAGTTGATTCTCTAACTTATTTTTTTCTACAAAGATAGCCAAGTTCTTCATATACTATAGTAAAATAAATTGCAAAATGCTTTCATTCATGCATAAAATTGATCTTACCTAACTCGGGTTCGGGAATTTCAAATCTCACTTTAATTTGAAGTCTAAAGCTACAGAATTTTTAAATGACATTTTTAGTCAATTTTTGTTGAAATCTACAGGTTTAAAAATCTTATACATTGCACGGGGTTCAGTAAATGTTGTGTCAAAATTCTCGGAAAGTTAGGGCACATCATCAGGTTTGAAATTGAATGGGAACCCATGCATGGAAATATCGTCTTATATGACCAGGGATGGACCTGTTTAGAATCACTCAAAGAAACAGTTCATTATAGGGTAGCAGCGATATGTTGATATTTCCAGGTAGGGGTTCTCATGCGTTTTTTGGGACGTTTTTCTAAACATTTAAACAACCCCGTGATTCTCCAAATTTAATTGAAGAATTAATTGATAACTAATCCTGACGAATTCATAAAGAAACTGTATTATTTTCCAGCAGTGGTTTTTAAAACTTATTATGCTAATTTGATACCAAAATCAGTGATTCTGTTGTAAAATATATAGAATGTGTGAAACAAAATTAAATTTAAAATATACTATGAATCTAAATTTTCCAAAATGTCATCTTTTAAAAAATAGCATAATTGAAAAAGAGAAGATTTTGTGATAATTTATTAAGAAAAAATATTTTTTCTTCATTTTTAAAAATGATAAATTGTCTTTTAAAATAAACTAAAAATAATCTTGGTTAAATACATCCTCATATTCCTTTTTTTGCCATTATTATACAAATTTCTTAAGTTGTTTTTATTATAATTTGTTTTCCCACAATTATGATTAAAATTAATAAAAAAGTGAAACAAAAGGAAAACAAACAAAAGTTCTTAAAGTGATTATCAAACAAATGAATATAAACAAATCATGATTATGAACAAAAGTAGAACAAAAGAAAATCTCGCTTCTCGAAATAGTTAGATATTTTTTCAATATCCTATATATATCATTTTATATATCATATTTTTTTAAAACATAAAATTTGGTTTAGCCTTCGATGTACATCGACCTCTTCCTATTTCATTAGTTTCATACCTTCTTACCTTTATAAGAACAGTTAAAGAGAACTGAAAATTCAATAACATTGTTATTCTCATTATTCTTATCACATTAAATCTTTCTCTTACTTGTGAAAACATAATGAATAAAAATAATTTTTGTTACAGTATTACAGTTATAAATACGCTTTCCTTTAAATTTTTTTATTGCTTTAGGATTTATCATTTCCTTATTTATAATTTTCTTTGATGAAGCTATTTAATCAATAGAAAACCACTCATGATTTATGCAATTCATATAACATTATTTTCAAGAAAGCCAAATAAAATTTTTGAAAATACTAACATTAAGTCTTTAAATTAAGTATTCAAAGGAAATTTTTAAAAATAGCTCTATTAAATATGAAATAAAAATATATACTTTTATATGTATGTATTATTATATAATAAAAGTAATAATACTAAAAATCACTCTAAAGAGGTATATTGGTTTCCCCTAAG